CGGCGATCCAGGTCTTGACGTTCTCCGTTTATGTCCGTGGCGACAGAGCCGGTATTGAAAGGGCTACCGCCACTCGCGTCGAATGCACTATCCTGGGCAGCCTGAAGATCGTTCTCGTAGTTCCCTGTCTGTAGATTTACCGTGTAACCTTCGCGCTCGTGGTGATCCGGCTCGTCGAGATAGATGATGGTATCCCGCAGGTCCGGCGGGATAAAGTCATCGCCCCAGTCATCGATCATGGGACGGTTAATTATGGTGTTACGGTAGAGGTGGTTATGTTGGACAAGGTACTCCAAGGCTGCCAGAACCTTCGCCTTCCGCACGAGTAGGAATTGAATCAGGTCCGAATCTACGGGAGGTCGACGACCCAACCAGAACACCTTGATCAGACTATGTAATGTCAACTCCGGGCTCGGTAGGATCTCGAGAAGTGGTTCTGGGTCCTGTGGGATGACAATGAAATGGCCACGGAGAGCACGGTAGTTGATTGGCGAGGAGCGGCCACCTGGTCGCAGTTTCAAAACGACACCGAGAAGATGGCACTTTGCAATGAGACATTCTTCTATCAGAGTGAGGCCTTCCAGAGCAGACGGATAGTCCTGGCACCGAGTCACATTCACAAGGTTCTTCGCAGAGAACTTGGGGATCATATTTCGATTGAGCGAAGCATGGCACGACGAGCACAGATTCCAAGTGTTACCATGTCGGCCGCAGGGATCAAGACTCCCCAACAGTGACAGCAGCAAAGGATCCTCATTATGTGCGCGGTAGATATCTGTGTCGGAGACAAGTTCCCCGCACGAACAACAGACGCATCTCTTCGCAGCCGCAGAAATCTCATCCTCGTATCTGGCTATGGATGCTCGTATATGCGAACAGGAGATATCCGGGGGAAAAGCATCGGAGGCGACGGCACGAGCCTCTAGCTCAGCACGCAGGAAACCTACCGCTCGATTTAAATTGGCCAGCGACCTCTCCAAATCTACCGTTCTCTCCCTGTTGACCGTGGCCAGTAAAGGATTCGGATAGCATCTTGTCTCTATATTGATGGGAGATGCCTGTGAGATCCGTGGCGACTGTGGGGAGGACACCGGCAAAGGACCTGCAGGAAGTAGCACTCTCTGGGGTCCCGGCCCGGTTCTCGAATATAATGGCACAGGGACGGGCCGAAGCGCAGCGTTTAGAATATCGAACGATGGAGGCGGAGCCATCGGCGCTTGCGGAACTGGTGCCAGAGGCCGCAAACGGGATCTCCTTTCTGGCAAGTATGCTACAGTATCATGTACAGAATTGTCATTAACAGGACTCGGTATGCGGAGAGCTGGTGCTAGAGGCCTCAAAGGAGATGCCCTTGCGGGCAAGGATGCTCTAGGATCACGAACAGGATGTGGCGTGTGTGGAACTGGGGCCAGAGGCCTTAGAGTAGAACCTCCTGCAGGCAAAAACGTTCCAGGGTCTCGAACGGGCTGCAGTGTGTGCTGAACAGGGTCAACAATGCAGCAGATAAGAAGGACGGACCACTCCCAGTACCTGGTACGATGCTACCGTCCTCCGTGTAGCTGCCTGGCGGCAGCGATTACACGTCCTATGATACAACGACCGGCAGGGGCGTGCACATGTAGAGCACGAAAAATGTAGCGTCGAAAAGGCAGGAACAGTAGGGGAAGTTAGAGGCGGAGGTGGCCCAGTTAAAATATTACTCGTGAGTCGTGCCTACAGTAGCTCAAAGCTGTCGGGCTCTGACCGCCCGTTGAGAAACCCTCCTGCGGCAATTGTCGCAGGACCGAAACTGTGTAGAGCGCCATGGTCTGGCGCAACCAGAGCAGAAAGAACGTTGCGCAGGAAGAGATGTCATTAGAGAAGAGATGACTTGAAACCAGCAAACGGCATCCGTTCCGAGGCGCACTGGGAGAGGAGCGACAGGAAAAAGTTGGGACCAGCGAGAAAGATCCGTGTTGATCATTCATATAGTAGAAGTCGAACACGTCACCGTGCGCATGAGTGCATAATAGTACTATCTGCAGGATGTTCAGGACAAATAAGGGTGGAATCATAATAGAAAGGCGAGAAGGCCGGAACCCCACCGACTCCAAGACTAGCGGGAACACCGGGATCCCTAGACACGGAGAAAAAGCAACAGAGGCCGAATACGAATTCGGGAAGCACAAAGCCTAAGGAGGAAGGAAAGGAAAGTAGGTGAGCAGCAATCAGAAGCGAGCGCGGAGAGACAGAGCAGCAATCGGAGGAGAGCCTGGAGAGTCGCAGCAGCAAACGAGAAGAGCGTATTGGCAGTCAATAGGAGCATTCCTTGGCACGAGAAAGCACCAATTAGCAACGAAAAAAACGAAGAGTTTGGCAGTGAGAGGCCAGCAAAGGTTGGCGGGCAGCTCGCGCAGTGTTGTAAACCCTTTCACTACGTTCCTTCGTTTCAGGGCAAGGTTGGCGGGCAGCTCGCGCAGGGTTGTAAACCCTTTCACTACGTTCCTTCGTTTCAGGGCAGGTTGCGGGCAGCTCGCGCAGGGTAGTAAACCCCTCCACTTCGTTCCTCGTTTCAGGGCAACCCCTTCACTCGTTCCTCGTTTCAGGGCAATGGGAAGTGCGCGTGGCAGAACAGTCCATATACAGTTAAGCCTCGTCTTTTTGCAACGTCTCGCGCACAGGTACATCCCGTGTTTAAATCCCTTTCTCTCACTTCGTTCGTTTCAGGGCATTTTGGGGCTGATGTAAAATACTGTAAATCTGTACAGAATGTTTTAGGCAGGGGCCCTGAAGGGGTGGGGGTTTGATCTCGCGATCTGGCTTGATCCATGCTGGCCAACTCCCTTTCTTCCTTTCCATTCACAGCCTTTGTCTTACCTACATCTTCCATGAACGAAGGCTGTGCTGCTGCTGTAGAAGACTAACCGTGGTAGGCCAATATGGTTCTCGTTTGCGTTGCCCATTGTTCCTGCTTTCTGCTGCCGCTTCTATCCGTTCCTAACGTGTGGAACCTCCCGTGTAGGCTGACGCAGATCTCAAGGAATTCCATCGTGTTTAAATATGAGCGACAGCCCATATTACGCTGACTATAACTCTCAGCGCCAAGAGCTCGAACTAAAGGAACAAGATTCTCAATATTCCCCTTTCTACGCAGGGATACTTCCGGAGTCCTTATGCTACTCTTGTCCGTTGTAGTCCCACCCCATCTATCTTTCTCGACGATGAACCCAATCCCGCAATCCCACTACTAAATGCTATACCACTGCTCCGGGAATTGAGTGGGAGGAGGATAAGATCTACGACGAGGATCCACCTAGCACTACTTCATAGAATGGCTGGTCACCGTCAACAACAAGGCAGTGGTGACGGACACGGAAGAAGACCTAGTCTTGGCCCTAGGCGCGTACCGGTAGCTATTTTTGGAAAAGAAGCTACTGACTGTCCTTGGACAGAAAGTCTCTCCTAATAGAAGATTCAGAGTTGATGACACTGCGATTGTTTTGTCAGTCAACGACCGCTTCAGCGTGATCTGACCAAGCGTTTCAACAATACCGATATCGTTTGGACTGCCATCGAGAGACAGCTCCGGATGTGGTCGAGTCACTTCTGTCGTGGCAAGAGACACACGCTCAGGATCTCTTTTAACTACGTAGAGGATTGCACTTCTCTATCCGCTGGACGAAACGGGGAGAAGAGAGGTAAATCTCTGTCACCAAGAGTATTCTTGATGATCGAGACGCCCAGCTAGATGCTGAAAAAGATGCATGCGGTCAGCAAGCAATCTGGCGACGCATTTATGCCATGATGAAATGTGATTCAAGTGCATGCCATTTAGGCCTCTACTGTTGGCTGAATCCGGTCCGGAAGAAGCATTATCGACTTCGCACTTGAACCCTTAGAAGGTTGGTTACTTACGCCGAGAAAGGTGGTGTCCTGGAGACGCACAAAGGTGTTCCTGGTGAAATCCAAGAAGAGCTATACATGGAGGAGCAGCAGAGGCCGGAGAAGGACGCACAAAGGGGGGAACATTGCGGGGCTCAGAACGCGGTATCCACCTATCAACATCAATGTTCTCCCGTCCCACCCTGCTGGGGTGGACATAACGGCTACAGAGGCGACCGTTGACTCAGCTGGGTCGAAGGATATGGGCCCATTGAAAATTCCCGGGTTCAAAGACGTTGCTGTCAAAGAATATGGTGAATGGCTCGCATCAAATGTGTCAGATGAAACCCTCAAAGCTGCATTTTGACAAGCGTCCGATGTAACGCTGTCAGATGGGTTCGACCTTGAGCACATTTACAAGGATCGAAATCAGAATTCTCTGTTGGCAAGGGTATTAAACCAGGCATTGCTCGAAGATTCGTAGAAAACATCCGTGAATGCAGTCGAGCTCAGGCAGCAACCAAAGCTTTATTTGATGGCGGAGCAGGTGTGTCTATAATGGACCATAGTTAATGGTCTCACGCCAGGAGACATAGCCCAGAAAGGCAAGGGTGGTATCATGAAAATACTCGAAGGCGGTGAGGTTCCAATATGTCTTTCACCTTACTGTGAATTGCATTAGCCAGGCATACTTTTGGCAGATTGGTTAAAATATCCTTTAATTTCCTCTTAGAATTCAAATAATTCGTAAAGACTTGGTATCTCTTGGCTCTGCCCGACATAGTCGTCTCGTTTCTGTTTACGGTCGCTCTAGAGTGGGCCGACACTCCAAGATAGAGCGATGAAAGTCGATAATCAACGCCCATCCAAGCTCTTTTCTTTGTTCCAGAGGCCATTGTCACGCCGAAGGTTTCCGCGGACGATTCCCAAGAATTTGATTCGAAACCACAGCGTCAGCTCCGTCGTTGCTGTGCTTTCGCCACCCAATCCATGATGAGCACTCTTGAGCCCTCTGGCACTTGTTATTACCAAGATTTCCTTTCTGACTTCAAAACGGGGTATCCAATTCGATGATGCAGACTTTAGCCGGATTCATCTGATCATTACTACTACTACTCGTGTACTTGCCTAACTAATCTCTACCTGGCTGTTTCAAATCCCGTTCCATCGCCATACTTCCGCAGAGATTCCAAAATGTGTTCGATCCCCGGGCGAGTTCGCGCGACCCGCGCATCCTCACACGCGTTCAGATCAACTGCCCGCTGAACAAGGTAGCCCCTAGCCTCTCTGATTCTCTCACTCCACCATTTTCGGAGCGTATCCACAGCAGCACGAGCCTCACTCTCAACGTCCTCTTTCATCGTGCTACGTGCATCGTACACAACATTCCCAACGGTCCGGATACACCGTTTTAACCCAGCCCACTCCGGCGCTCCCCGCGTACACTCCCGGATAAGATCTTGTACATGCTCAGGAGTATATCGAAAATCCGGGAAGCGATGCTCAGAATCCACCTCCCTAAATACATCCCCACCAAAGAACTCAGCTGCGTTTGCGCTCGCCCTTCCTTCAAAAATACACCACAGAATCCGTCCGAACATGAAAACAACAGCATGGTCTCGCTCGTCAGGCGAGAGAGCCCTCCAGCTCTTGTTATACCCGATATCCATATCCGACTCTGGATCAACATCTGTATGTGGACTCCCACCTCCATTCCCAGGCCCCAGTGGATGGTGGCCCCTCCACGAAGGAAGATACCTATCCAAGAGCGCGCGATACTTCCTCCCCACTGCGCGTGGGATATAACTCGATCTTCGCGTAGCCAGATACACCAGGAGCATGAGTTTATTAATCTCCGGCGGCGACCACGAGGCCCACGATCCGCGCTGCTCAAAATCGATCAGCATGGCGTCCTCGCCATTCTTTGACTCCCTGAGAACGATGTTATCCAGCTTCAGGTCGGAGTAGTATCCCATAGAAGATGTCTTAACATGTGCAAGCGCGGAGGCGAGCTGGTACGCCCATCGGACCTTGGTTCCCAGGTTGATAGTGTTGGCAGGTTTAGAGGTTATTCTTGTTGCGAGTGTCCCTCCTGAGTGGAACTCGAGGAGAAAGCCACATATGCCTTTTTTGCCTCCGAAGTTTACCTTCTTGGTGACGATGTGTACCGGGCGTGATATTATGTTGGGGTGTGGTTTAACCGAGAGGAGAAGGAGCAGCTCGCGGTATAGGAAGCGAGGGTTTCCTGTGGTCGACTTGAAGACGAGTTTTTCGCTGGGGTTGTCTCTGAGTGTGACGAGATGGACCGTTTCATGCAGCTCTGTTACGAGCTGAAGCTCCGATAGATCAATAACAGGGGGGAGATGGTCTGGTTGCACCTTCCACATTGTTTGGAGGTGCTTGTGTGTACGCCACTGGAGCTCGAGCTCGTAGTTTGCTTCAAAGCTAATCTGCATATCACGGACGTTCTCCGCTAATATTTCAATGTTGATTCTAGAGCCGAATGGCATATTCATGTATGTGTTCTCGAAGTTGTCGAAATTGGTCGACCACACTTCTAGTGCCGCGAGGATATGCTCCGCTAAAGCAGAGCTACCCCCGCTGCCAGGTGTCATGGATGCGAAGCTCGGCCTCATGGATCGCCACGGCTCTTGTCTGTTAGCAGAGCTGTGGAGGTGGATTTCGATTCGCACTGGCTTGTGGCCAAGAGCGAACTTGGGGATGGCGGAGATCTTGGAGGTGATGAAATCGGCGCGAAAGAGATGCCATGAGGAGTGGGGTTTGGAGCTGTCGCGTGCATTCTTGTCCTTTGGGTTTCGAGTGAGTGTTAGTGCTTTTAAGTCGCTGGTTGGTATATAGCTGATAGCTGGTCCCAGGAGGAACTCTACCGTCCGTGATGACGGTTCCATGTCTAGTCATTGTCCGAAGCATGGGAGGATGCTTGAGACTGGCATTCGCGCTGGATCGTACAAGCCGTGCCCCACTACTAAATTAAGGTTCGTCACTCGTAAAGCAATATTAAGCGGAGACGCTAGTTCAATCGAAGCGAAATATTAATGTTATAGATTGCAACCCATCCATCCATAAATAATAACCCTAACCTCGCGCCTCAGAAACCTTCTAGGTAACACATCCCATACAATTGAGGGGAAAAAAGTAGAACAGAATTACGACCATCCTCCCATACTCACTCCACCACCCCCAAAGCTCCCTCCTCCGAAACTGCCTCCCCCGAAACTGCCTCCCCCGAAACTGCCTCCCCCGACACTGCCTCCTGCGCTCATGCCTCCGACGCTAGCACCATCGCTGCCGTCGTCGCCGGCTTCAACTTTGACATTAACAGTCGCAGAAAATTCCGTGCTATTTCCCGTCTTGCGGCCCTTTCCACCACGTTTGTTGGGACGAAGAGCCCAGATCTGTCTCGACATTTTCGACTGAAACAGGTCATCCATGTTTTTCTGCATTACCGGCGGGAGTTTCCAGGCTAGACTCCCATTTCGCAGCCATAGCTTCACAAGATGGCGATCCTCATCCTGGTTATCGTCGATTGCATGTAATAGGGCAAGATTGTTAATGAAAAGCAAGTCTCCCTGTCTGAGCCGAAGGGCGACATGACTCTCTGCAGCTTTCATTGCTACATCCTGGGTAGGCCCCAAGTCATAGGTTCCGAAGAAACTATCTGAGGCACAGCTCCCTGTGTAGCTCAATATTGCCTTGCCGTCGTAGAGGAAGAGGTCAGTGCGGTACTCTTTTTGGGCGAAACACGTTCTTGGTTTGCTGAGCCTAGCATACCTTCATTGTCAGAAAATTTCTTATCCGCAATGGCGAGTGGAAGTAACGTACCTCTCTTGTTGAGGAAAATTGGCGAACTTATCGAGAATCTTCCCCTTTGCATGCCGTAGCTGGTTATAGACACGCCACGAGGAAGCCAACTTGAAGACTTCGTCTTTCTGTGAGCGGACATGAAAAGCCACAATATCGCACATTTCGCTTTCGGTATGGAATCTCTATGTAGGTCAGCTTCGCAATTCTCATAATCTGGAGGGTAAGAGATACCTACGTAACTTCGGCGGTTCTTTTCCACCGACTTACAGATATGAGCTAGGGAGGAATACGTCAATTGAGAACACGTCCAATAGAGAATAGGCTCAGATTACTTATCATATCTCCCAAGGGGTTCTGCATCGCGCGCTGTTCACCAATATAAGACGATATGCCTAAGAAGATGAGAGTGCTATCTTCGATAGAGTAGTTCGCTAGATTCATTCCGCGGACGATATAGAATCCGCGCCCATAATGAATAGCTTTAGCAAAGGCCAAGAGTTTCGGGCCAAGAGAGGCAAGCGCAAAGTTCTCTGTGTTTGTTTCAGGGCCATCCAGATCCATGTCTAGCAACCGTGCAGTCAACATTTACCGCTCCATCTATACAGGGCGTACGGAGAGAAACTTGAAAAGACAGACCCTTAAAACCTTCCAGTGCCTGCTCAATCTCGACAATATCGGTTGAGCTCAGCTTGTAGGTAACCTCGTTGGGATCAAGGATGTTTCCATCCCAGGCCATAAAGCCCTTCATCGCGGGCCATCGCCAGGGCGGGCGATACGGGTTGTTTTTTGCCCCAGGCCAGCAGCCAGGTGGATATAGGTTTCTCCTTGGCATTCTGAATCCCAAGGCTCGTTTGAACTGCCTTCGGATCCTAGAGGAAGAAAATAAAGGAGGAAAATAAAGGAGGTCAATTCGGGGTGGTAGAGGACAGGAGATCCGTGCGCCCCGTCCCTTCTGAGGCAGAAGCGAGCTCTCGATAGAAATACGACGAAGCTTAGCCTATTTATCCTCAGCCTCCATGCTCTTCATTTTACCCTTCCACCTTCATCCTCTTCATGGAGCATACAGTTCTCTACAGAGATGATAGAGCCAACGATGATATCTCATGATATATTAAAATTTAGTTGATAGGCCTTCTCTTTGCTCGCCTGGAAGATTCTCACCCTCGGCTCATGTTCTTATCTAGCAATTCCTTCCTCCAATTGGCCTGTGGGTTTGAGTCGCCCAATTTGCGGCCTTGGGCATTCAGTTCTGACTGTTGTTGCTTGGTAAAGGGGGCAGGGGTACCGCCCGCTATCACCAATGGCGCGTGGAGAATACCAATGGCTGGCTGGATTTTCGCTCGACTTTGGGAATTTGTTTCACCTAGTCCAATGACTTGACTGAGAGGGTCAATGTGGATCTCACCTGGGCGGCACCCCGCTCAAGTGGAGAAAATGATCCTAACGCACCGAGCCACTTGCTACTTGGTCAGGCTGCACTCTCCAAAATACGATTCACGACAGAAGTCGCAGAGCAAGAGAGGAAACATGACGCATCGCAAAGGCTACCCAGACGTGGAACGGTGGAACTGATGCGCGCCGTCACCTGGCGGAGTCCCTGAACAGATATCCATGCCCTTCGGCCCACCCACCCACACCGCTTTCCCGTTGTGTGTACGCCACTCGTCACCATTGGTTTTTTGACTGTTCGCCTACACAGTAGATTTCGAAAACAGATTACCCCCAAGACGCGCACGCTTTCTTTCCCAGCGCCCCACTTGAGAGCTAAGTCCGGATCGCCGAGTTTCAGAGTACCCTACAGCCAATCATACCGCCACACGCTCCCACAGGGGACTTTCTCTAGCCAAAGTCAGCTAAGCGCAATCGGACTGGGGCGCTGGGAAAGAAAGCGCGTGTGTCTGGGGGGTAATCTGTTTTCGAAACCTACTGTACAATTAGATCGGGGAATTTGAAAACGACTGAATTCTATTACTGCGATTGGAGATATATGTGAAATCTTAAGATAAAACATCCATGTACTTCATCTGTCATGATATCGCCGTTATTCTTCACCGGGAAGTTGAACCGCGTGTCGAACTGTTTAACCCCAAGGCATTCAGACTAATAATCGGTTTGGCCACTTCGAAGGTATTAGCACGTTTTTGTACCCATTTTCATAGTGCGAACTAAAGACAACTCTTTCTTGGCAAAAACGTTTTCTTGAAATATCTAGCCAATCAGAGGTCTCACAGCCTCGTGAATTAGTTCATCGTAATCGTAACCTCAAGCGCTACGACCTGATACCCTTTTTATAGGGGAGATGGCAGCGATGGTTGGGACGGGTGCGAACGCACAGATTTTGCCCCCTGACAGGAGAGGAACACCAAAAACCACGGCCCTCGCGGATCCACCCCGATCCATGGACGACATCGCGGAAGGGGCCCGCAGGGTGCTCAACCACATCGAGAACAATGGCACGGAGGACCGGTATGTCACTGGATATATTCGTGCTGTCCGCCAGTACGCACTCAACGCCCAACGGGGAGACGGCCAGGGGATGGCCAAGGTGCTTGAGGCGCTGACCAAGATCAACGCCGACACCGAACGCCTGAACCAGCGAATTGATACCATAGAAAAGACAACGAGCACATTATCGACGGCACTATCTACCCCCGCGGCGAACTCTGCGGCAGCGTGGCGCAACTTCCGGGCCAAAGAATGGCAGCGCGACTTGGCTACGGCTGCGGCTCCTATCACCCGGAGCGGCGGCACATCGTCACCAGGAGTACCGGAAATGGAACTTCGCGAGGACCGAGAGGTCATCGTCAAGGTCGGAATGAACCGCGAGCAAATCCGTGGATTGACACCAAAAGATTTGGTCGAGAGGGCTGAACGACAGAGGGTATCAAATGCCCGTCAGAAGAATTCAGGGGTACTGGCCGGACAGGCTTTCTTTGTCGCTGCTCGAAAATTGCCGTCGGGGGATGTGGCAATGATCGCCAACAGTGCGGCAGGGGCAGAGGTCCTCCGCAAACATGCTGCGTGGCTGAGAGCCTTTGGACCAGGCTCGGTGGTCCAAGAACCGTCATGGGGAGTGGTGGCGTACCATATCCCCGTGAGGTCCATGAAGGTTACTCCGGAGACGATGGCTGACGTTGCGGCTGAGCTGCTCAGGCAGAACAACTGGGGCGAAGGCGCTAAGATTCAGTATCTAGGATGGATGACCCGTCCGGGTGAGAGGGCGGAGGGCTCCATCCTGATCGAGTTCACCAGCCCAGTCGTGGCTAATCGCGCGATCATCTCGGGAGTCGTGTGGGGGAAGCAAATTCACAATGCATCACGATTCTGTCGTGAGGGGCGGATAAAGCTATGCAGAAAATGCCAAAAGCCGGGGCATATCCAGTCACACTGTTCCAACTTATTCAAATGCGGTCACTGCGCCAACGGACACCCGACCTGGGAGTGTCCGTCGACGAAGGGGCAAGCGATACCAGTCAAGTGCGCCAACTGTGGTGAAGGGCATCGCCCTACAAGTCGGGAATGTCCGGTGAAGGTTGCAGCGATGAACGAAGCCAAGCAAGCGCTGGCCAACTGCCCTGCATATCACCGCGTTCCTCTGCACCTCCGAGTGACGGCAAGCACTGGCAAAGAAGCAACTTCGACCAGGGCAGACCCCATGGCCACGAATGGACTCGAAGCGTCGATACACGCTCCAGAGGAGCAACGGGGGAAGAGCCCCGGCGGAACCCCCAGGATGCTGTAATCGACGTGGAGGCTGCAGCAATAGAAGTAGAAACATCACCAGAGGAAAACACTGAGCCTATTCAGCCTACTCAGCTCAAAAGAGGTCCTGGTCGCCCAAAAGGCTCAAGAACGAGGCCAAAGAATCCGAAACCAGCAATGATACCACTAGCATGCCAAGGGTCAACAAGGCTCCAAGCGGCCTCGAAAAGGCGCCGCACAGGCGAGCCGGACGACACCATGGACGAGCAACCAGACGACAATGAATGGCTCAGCATTCAACCCACTCCGGCCGATCTCCCTCAACCTGACACTCCGCAGGATAGCCGGGAACACCGACTTACCCAATTCATTAACGAGGTCACCTCTGTCAACATGGCCGGTAACACGTCCGAGCCTGATGACGAGGACGAACTGGACCCGGAGAGCCCCGAATACCGCAAATTGGTGGTTCTGAAATACAAGCAGCGACAAGCGATACCAATCGGATCTTCTCCGCCGATTTTTACGACGGATGCACCAACAATCGAAGACCCAAATGATGAAGTATGGCACGAGGCCAGCGAACGAAGCGATGACGAACAAACTCATCAATGAAATCGTTTGAGATTCTTCAATACAACGTACACAAATCGTGGCCAGTGATGGCAACGTTCCTCAGAGACAGAAATGTCCTCGCGGCGGACGTCGTCGCGGTGCAGGAGCCATGGAAGAACGAAATGCAACACACAACACACCAACCAGCGACGGCAACATTCCAGCTAATTTACCCACCAAAAGCAGCTGCCGACGGAACAACCCAAGGCCAGGACAATCAAGTCCAAGCCTCGGATCTCTCCCAACCGGGCGTATGCCTGTTTGTGTCTAAAAGGCTTGACCCGAGCACTTGGTCGTGTCAACTCGTCTCACAGGACTACCAGTTACTGAAACTTAGAAAGGCTCATCAGGGCAGAGACTGGACAGATCTCTTCATACACAACATATACAATAGGCCGGGCAGCAATACTCTTAGACATCTGAGAAATGAGCTGTCAAAACGACCTCATGGAGAACACATCATCCTTGGAGATATGAACGCGCATCACCCGAGATGGGGAGGAACAGGGACCAGGCTCGATCAGGAGGCCGAGCAACTCCTAGAAATCGCCAACGAATGGGGACTCGAGTTGACGACCCAACAAGGCAGACCTACCTGGTCTCGAAACGATCAGTCGTCGGTGATTGACCTCACCTTCATCACATCCAACCTTGTCAACAGGCTTATCAATTGCGAGAGGGCGGATGACATCGAACACGCATCCGACCATTTCCCGATCAGGACTGTGCTTGATATTATTACACCCATTGCAGTACAACAGAAGAGAAGAAACTGGAACGCAACCGATGATCAGAAACTCATCCAGAAGATCGAAGGAGGTCTACGGACAGGAGGCCTATACCGGGCAAATCCGCAAAGGATAGAAGCCAAATGCCAGGAGCTGATGGGAGCGATCCAAACAGCAATCGAGGAATCAACCCCATGGGCAAAACCATCCGCGTGGTCGAACCCCGACTTTGACGACGAGTGTAAAGTTGCGGTCAAAGAGGTTCGTCGCCTCCGTCGCAAACATACGAGAACTCAAGACCCCTACGACTGGATGTGCTACTCTGAAGCACGCAACAGAAAAACACGACTCGTCAAGAGAACCTTGTCAAGGGCGCACCGGCGCCGAGTCCAGCAGGTCATTGAAGATGGCCCACAGGGTATGTGGCGATTGGCTAAATGGGCAAGAAACCGAGATGGGGCCTACGAGAAGGGTATCACCCCTTCGCTGAAAATACAGGATCCCCAAATGCCTGGAACTCTCGCAGAAACAGTTGATCAAAAGGCAGAGGCATTCCGGATTGCCTTCTTCCCCAAACCGCCGCCAGCCGATCTATCCGACACGGACTCATTCCAGTACCCACAGCAAATCGAGTTTCCAGCAGTCACCGCTCAAGAGATACAGGAGGCGGTGCGAGGAGCGAAAGCAGGGAAAGCACCCGGAG